GAAGTCCCCCTCCCGCCCAAACCAGCCTGTGAATGGCTGTTGCCCTGGGGGATGACAGGGATGTGTCCCACTGCTAACAGGAGCTGGGACAGTGGGTTCCAGCCTGGGGAGTGCTGCTGTGCTGGGATCACATGAACCACTCTTACCCTCCCCAGGGCTGACACTTTCTCTCTCTTTCCTTACCAGCTCCTCTCTGAGGAAGCTGCTTCTCCTGCCCCTCCAAGCCGTGTGACCCAGGAGCAGCTCTGGCTCTTTGCTCGTGAAGCTGAAGTCAACAAGGACTACAAGCTGGCATCTCTCTACCACCAGCAGGTAAAGGAGCCCCTCTTCTTCCCTGCCCATCTCCCTGGCACCCAGCACCCTCTGGCAGCAGTGTGGGCTCTGTGGTGCCAACAGCTCACCCCCAACTGCTCTGCAGGGAGGAAGGAAGGAGGTGAACCCAGCCAGGATGCTTGGGCTGAACGTGTGAGGGATTTTCTAGGGAGATGCTGCTCTCTGGAGGATGTGAGACAGAGCCTGGCCAGGTCTTTGAGGACTTCAGGCTCCAGGACAGGGGAAATGGGATGAGCTGGTCCAAAAGGGGTGCTGGGTCAGCACGGGGGGGTACTGGGCCCTCTAGCAGGAGGCTAGGAGGAGGTCAGCTGAAGCTGGAGGACACGTGGGGTGAAGGAAGCTCAGAGCATCATCCCAGTTAAGTGAAACCCTAGCATGTGAGAGACAAGGGCTTGACTGCAGCAAGAGTGGGCTGGGGGGAATCCGTGCTCATTCCAGAGTTGTCTCCCCACTCCATTGTGTGTCCTCACCCCAGCAATGATCTCCTTTGTCTAGAGGTTAGCTCAGGACCAGCACAACCTCCAGTACTGGCTGGACTATGGGGCCTTCTGCCTCCTGCTCGAGGAAGCAACCAAAGCCCAGGAGTGCTTCCAGCAGGCTCTTTCTCTGGACCCCCAGAACATCCCAAGGTGCTGGACGCTCCCCATGGGTGGGTGGGTGGTTGGAGGTGTCTTCCCCCACTGCTGCCTGGCACCTGCAGGGTTAACCTGCCCACCCCTGTCCCCAGCTTGCTGCTCTGTGGGGTGGTGGCTGTGGAGCTGCAGCACTATGAAGAGGCAGAGGTGTTCTTTGAGGATGCCTGTTGCCTGGAGCCATCCAGTGTGGTAGCCTGGACACTTGCAGGTACAAAAGCAAATTGTTCTTAGAACCATGGAGGTGTTTGGGTTGGAAGGGACTTTTGAGATCAAGTCCAGCCATTCCCCCAGCTCCCCAATGCCCCGTGTCCCTCACACCACATCTCCAGGGCTTGGAAACCCCTCCAGGGGTGGGGACTCCACCACTGCCCTGGGC